GTGGCGCCGGCAGTGGGAAACTTTGTGCCACCACTGCCCGGGCCCCGGGGCTGGGAGAAAAAGTTGGTCCCCGTGGGGACGGGCGAGGAGGCCTGGTGCCCCGGGCGCGGGCTGGGAAGTTCTGCAGGAGCTGGAGCAGTGATGAGGGGGGGGGGGAGGAGGGAGGGGGATTCCTCTGGGAAGGGTGAGGGGTGGAGAGTCGGCGGCGGGACCAAGCCCAGGTCTTTCCCCCACCTTAACCCCCCTCCCCCGGGCTGATGGCCCTGCTTCTTCTGGACGGCCGAGGCTCAGCTGCAGTCCCCCCGGCCCAGGTTCTGTGATACACTCCGACTCGGGCTCTGGAGCAGTCAGTGCATGACAGAACTTGGGCCCGGTAGGACTTTCTGCACCCAGAGGACCCAGCACCCACCCCGGGGCCTGCAGTGGACCCGTCTGCCTGGGAGTGGAGTGGGCTTGGAAGTTGGTCCCCTATGTGGCAAAGGGTGTGGGCCCCAAGCAGCTGTGGATTTGGGACTGGGGTGACCTGAACGAGCTCTCCTTCCTTCCCAACCCTGTTGTCAGTTGCAGGAACCTTCCCTCTACACCATCAAGGCTGTCTTCATCCTAGATCATGATGGGCACCGCCTCCTGGCCAAGGTAATTCCCCATCCCTGCAGATACAAGACACACAGCCCCAAGAACGGCGCCCAGCCGGCTGCCCAGCCGCAGGAGAGACTGGCTTCTGGGATGCTGAGCAGCCTGGCTCAGCTGGAGCCTGGCGGTGGGAAGCTTCAGGACTTGAACTCAGGGCCTGGGCCCTCTCCTTGAGCTGTGTTTGCTCAAGGCTAGCACTCTACCTGCACCACTTCTGGCTTTTTCTGTGTATGTGGTACTAAGGAATCGAACTCTGGGCTTCATGCATGCTAGGTGAGCACTCTACCACTAAGCCACATTTCCAGCCTGACCTCTACTTTTGTATTGCAGCTTCATAAACACAGAGGACTTAGGGGAAGGATTTATAACCACATAAGACTTGAGAAACCATATAATTAATCCAACTCCCTAATTTCCCAGATGCAGAAAATGAGGTGGAGAGAAGCCAAGTGAATAATCTGTGCCTAATGTCATAGATCCAAACTTAAGGTTTTACCAGTGCTAGGGAAGGAAATCAGGGCCTTGGACATGGTGGGCAAGTATTCTACCAATGACCTATGTCCCCAAGCCTTCTTTCTTTTCAGAATTTCCACTCTGCATCTCAGTTTGGCCTTGATCTCTCAATACTCCTGCCTCCAAAGGTGCTGGGGTTACAAATGTATGGCACCATGCCCGGCTCAAACTCAGGGTTTTGATTTGAAGCCCAGGGTAGCTTTCATTGGATTTCATTCCTGTTATCTGGTATCTATCCTAGTGAACATGCCCTTGGTAAACTAAGCTAAGATAATCCAAAACTAAATTTCTACTGTGGACACAATTTACCATAGCTATGCTCTATTACAGCATCTAAATTCGCTAGGAAATGCATTTGGGGGAGGATGGAACGTCTTTATAACAGCCAAATGAGCTTGCTTACCATGGCAAGGGCAAGTGAGGAAACTGCTGATTTGCCTATAGATTACTAAATAGCAAATCTGTAGCTAGAAAGTTGAGAGCTGAGGTAAACATACCTTACCCTAGTAGATAGCCATAGGTAGATCAGTAGTGCCAGAACCTCCAGAGGCCTTCTCTCAAGTTACAGATTAAGAAAACTTTCAGCTGGGTGCTGGTAGCTCATGCCTGTAATTCTAGCTCCTCAGGAGCCTGAGATCTGAGGATCATGGTTCAAGCAGGAAGAGTCCATGAGACTCTTATCTCCAATAAACCACTCAGAAAACTTGAAGTGGCTTAAGTGGTAGAGCGCTAGCCTTGAGCTGAGGGACAGAGCCCAGGCCTAGAGTTCAACTGAAAAGAAAATGTTTCAGCTGGACACTCATGTCTCCTGCCTGTAATCCTAACTACTTAGGAGGCTAAGACTGGAGGATTGTGGTTTAAAGCTAGCCCAGGCAGGAAAGTCCTATGAGAGTGTTATTTCCAATTAACCACCAGAAAACCAGTGCTCAAAGTGATAGAGCACTAACCTTTGACAAAAAAAGAGCTCAGGAAAAAAAAAAAAAAAAAAAGAGCTCAGGGACAGCACCCAGTCCCCACTCAGACAAAATTAAAGAAAAGGAAAAAAAAAATCAAGGGGCTCGAAAACCAACTCCATTATTTCCCCACTTTTTTTGGGGGGGGCAGTCCAGTCATGGGGCCTGAACTCTGGGCCTGGGTGCTGTCCCTCAGCTCTTCAGCTCAAGGCTAACGCTCTACCACTTGAGCCACAGCGCCACTTCCGGCTTCTTTTTTTCTGCTTATGTGGTGCTGAGGAATCGAACCCAGGGCCTTGAGCATGCAAGGCAAGAATTCTACCCCTGAGCCACCTTCCCAGTCCTATGTCCCCACTTTTGTCTGACTATCTTGGCTTAGAATTTGTAGCATCAGAATAGCATCAGGGCTTGGCCAGTACCCACTGTTTCCTGCCACCCCTCAACCTCCTGGAAGAACTAGGCTTTGAGGAATGGCTTCTGTCTCTTCTTGTCTTCCTCACAGTATTATGATGACATGTTCCCTTCCATAAAAGAGCAGATGAACTTTGAGAAAAATGTCTTCAACAAGACCAGCCGGACAGAGAGTAAGTCTCCACCTCTTTCTGCACTAGAACTTGGAGTCAGCCCCCAGCATCTGTCATCTTCTCCATCTGGACACATCTGTCCCCATGGCCATCCACACCCACACGCCATCCTTCCCTTCTGAGGCTCTTTGTCTTCTTCACAGCTGTTTTCCACTGACTTTGTCAGGAGACCTTCATGGCCATCTTGCTCTCCTCCCACCTCAGCACAAGCCAACCCTGTCCTGACTAAGAAGGCCAACTATTTTGTGACTCTCACTAGTTTCTGGGTCCCTGAGTACTGCCTATGGCAGAGAATGGGCCAGAGGTCAGCCCTGAACTGTGTTCATTGACTCCTCCAGCAGGAGGAGGCCTACCCCTAGAGCCAGGGGTAGGAGCAAGAACACAGAATGACTGGTCTGTCAAGGGTTCCTGGAGAGGGTTGCATGACAGGCGGTGGCTGAGGCCAGACGTGAGAACTCCTCTGTTTCTAGGTGAGATCGCATTTTTCGGGGGCACAACGGTTGTCTACAAGAGCAGCATTGACCTCTTCCTGTATGTGGTGGGCTCCTCTCAGGAGAATGAGGTGAATTGGGGAGACGGGACTAATGTGGGGGGGGGCTCTCCTGGGAGAAAGAGTTGGAGTTTGAGGTGGAGATGGGGTCTGGAGGTTCATCACTGGTGCCTCTACTCTAGGCTCTGGGAGTGGGGAGGGTCCTTGTGATGGTAAAGGATCTTTTTTGGCCATCTGTGATGCCCCAATGGTTCCTTGGGAACCAGAAATAAAAGTCATTGCACCCTCTTCAGGAAGCCATTATTTTTTAAAATCAATCAATCAATTAATTAATTTTTGCTCATGGGGCTGGAACTCTGGGTCTGGGTGCTGTCCCTGAGCTCTTCAGCTCAAGGCGAGCGCTCTACCACTTGAGCCACAGTACCACTTCTGGCTTTTTCTGCTTATGTGGTGCTGAGGATTTGAGCGCAGGGCCTCATGCATGCTAGGCAAACACTCTACCATTGAGCCATCTTCCCAGCTCAGTAGCTATTGATTCTTTTTTGATGTTGTTGTTGTTTGTTGTGGGACTTGAACTCTGGGCCTGGGTGCTGTCTGTGTGCTCTTTAGCTCAAGGCGAGCACTCTACCGCTTGAGCCATAGCACCACTTCCAGTTTTCTAGTGGTTTATTGGAGTCTCACAGACTTTCCTGCCAGGCTGGCTTTGAACCATGATCCTTAGATCTCTGCCTCCTGAGTAGCTAGGATTACAGGCATGAGCCACTGGCGCCCGGCTCAGCTATTGATTTTTTTTAATATTTTATTGTAAAGATACTATACAGAGGGTTACAGTTACATGAGCAAGGTAATGAGTACACTTCCTATTGAGCATTGTTACCCCCTCCATTGTTTTCACCCTACCATCCAGCTATTGATTCTTAACCAGAGGGGGAGAGACTCTGTCCTCAGCCAGAGCTGGGAAAGTTCCCTCTCTGGTTGAAAGCGTGTTTGGCTTCTAGTCCCAGTTCCCTCTGACAAGGGAGGACCCCCCCCCATGGTCCACATGGGTGGGCTCTTTGTTCATCTGAATTTCAGTTCTTTTCTTTTCCTTCTCCCACACCGGCCTTCCCCAGCTGATGCTCATGTCTGTTCTCACCTGCCTGTTTGAGTCTCTGAGTCACATGTTAAGGTAAGAGAATTTTCTGACTCCCAAGACCCAGGCTTCAGGCCTTGGTCATCCCAGAGACAGAGTTTTCCCACATTCTTCCTGAAATCTCCACAAGCCCCAACTGGAACCAGAGCACCCTCCTCCAAAGCCCCTGTCCTTCACTTAGCTTCTGTGTGACAACCACGTCAAGGTGGCACACAGCACATAAATAATTAGTGTGTGTGTGTGTGTGCACGCGCATGCACACCAGTAGTAGGGTTTGACCTCAGGGCCTGGGCACTGTTCCTGAGCTTTTTGCTCAAAGCTAGCACTTACCAATTGACCTACAGCTCCACATCTGGATTTTTGGTGGACAGTTGGAGATAAGGGTCTCATGGACTTTGCTGCCAGGCTGGCTTTAACCCTCAGTCCTCAGATCTCATCCTCCTAAGTAGCTAGGATCACAGGTGTGAGCTACCAGTCCTGACATAATCATGTCTTCAGACATAGTTACCTGTGGTCACATTATTACTATCATAACAGTTGCAAACTCATGGTTTTGGTTTTTGGAGGGAATGGGGGATCAGATCCTTATATAGCTCAGGATGGCCTTGAGCTCACAATCAACCATTTTGAGTAGTGTGTGGTTTTCCTTATATCCTCCCTTTATTATCTGTTCTCTATTCCAGTGAACATAGCCTGGGAAAAAGCAGTCTAGGCTAATCCTAGACCTGTCCTGTGTTCAGGAGGCCTGTGCTAGCCTCTACCCTTACTTCCCTTTGCCCTCTCCTTCCCCAGTCCTTGGGAAGGGTGGTAGTAAAGCAGTCTCGGCCAACAGGGATTCTGCCTCACCTAGACAGGACTTGGTTCTTCCTGGTCTTGGGGAGGCTCAGGAGCTTATCTGCCTTCAGGAAGAATGTGGAGAAGCGCTGGTTGCTGGAAAACATGGATGGAGCCTTCTTGGTGCTGGACGAGATTGTGGATGGAGGGTAAGGAGGGGATGGGGAGAAGAGGGGCTGGTCAGAGATACTTAGAGCCGAGGGCACCTTTGTGAGTGGAGTCAAAATAGCTTCTAGTACATTGTGCCAAATCTCCTTCCTAACCCCACCTCACAGTGTGTGTGTGTGTGTGTGTGTGTGTGTGTATGCGCGCCAGCACTGGGGCTTGATCTCAGGGCCTGTGTTCTGTCCCTTACCTCTTTTTTTTTTTTTGCTCAAGGTTGGCACTCAACCACTTGAGCCACACCTCTGCTTCTGACTTTTGGGTGGTGAATTGGGGATAAGAACCTCACTGACTCTCCTGCCCCAGGCTGGCTTTGAGCTGTGATCTTCAGATCTCAGCTTTCTGAGTAGCTAGGTATCAAACCACGGGGCACCTGAGCTGCTCCACAGTGGCCCACAGTGTGATGTGGGGAAGCAGCAGAGCTCAGGGCCCGCTGTGGTGAGGTAGGGCCCTCAGGGGGAAGGTTTCCCTGGAGGGAGATCCTACAGCATAAATTGAAGGGGGCGTGGGTGCGCTGGGAGAGGAAGCAGGGGTTGGGTCCTGTCACCAATTGTTTCTGTGATTTTTTTCCCTCTCCTCTTGTAGTGTGATTCTAGAGAGTGATCCCCAACAAGTGATCCAGAAAATAAATTTTAGGGTAAGTCTTCCTGTGCCCTCACCATTCCCATCTCCTCCAGGTTTCCTGTCCATCCCATCCTCCCTGCCCACTCTGTCCACCCTGAACACAGACTCAGCTGTCTCAGCCTTGAGATGGGGCACTTGGGTGGTGTGGATAGAATCTCCCTGTCTGGGGGCTGGGAAGGTGGCTCAGTGGTAGAGCGCTTGCCTTGCATGCATGAGGCCCTGGGTTCGATTCCTCAGCACCACATAAACAGATAAAGCTGGAAGTGGGCACTGTGGCTCAAGTGGTAGGGTGCTAGCCTTGAGCTGAAGAGCTGAGGGACAGCGCCCAGGCCCAGAGTTCAGGCCCCACAACCGGACCACCACCCCCCCAAAAAAAAGAATCTCCCTGTCTGGTTCGGTCCTCTTATATCTGGATGGTGCCTTTTTCTAACTCTATTCTGTGCCACCCCCTCTCCCTTCATGCATGTGGAAGGATCCCAGGATCACTAAGTGATGATCTAGATGCCGTTCTGGGTTGAGCTAACCTAAACCCCACACCCCTAAGCCCCACACACTGGCCTGAACCCACCTTTTGAATCTGTTTCCTCACAGGCAGATGATAGCAGCCTGACTGAACAGAGTGTGGCCCAGGTAGGTCTCCTGGACTCACCTTAACTAGAGAAAGAGATAAGAAGAGAGCTCGGGGCTGAGAATGTGGCTTAGGGGCAGAGTACATACCTAACATGAATGAAGCCCTGGGTTCGATTCCTCAGTACCACATAAACAGGAAAAAGCTAGAAGTGGTGCTATGGCTCAAGTGGTAGAGTGCTAGCCTTGAGCAAAAGAAGCTTAGGGACAGTGCCCAGGCCCTGAGTTCAAGCCCCAGGACTGGCAAAAATATAAAGAAGGGGAAGGAGATAAAAAGAGCACTGTCTAGAGATAACCAAGTGTCTGAGAAATCAGGGGTCTGGGAGAGAGGAAGTGAGTCCTTAATAAACCATGGCTCCGACAGTCACTGGAGGTGGGGATTTGGGTGCTGATGGATGGGCGAGTGGTTGAGTGGGAGTGGGTGATTACCCCCTCACTTGAAGTCCTGGCCACGTCTAGTTGGATTGAATCTGAAATGAACTTCCTACCCTGGAGAAAGGTGGGTCACGTGTCCCCCAAAGCTTCTTCTAACCTAGAAAGATACCAGTGCATTTGACTCAGCCAGATGCTGGTGGCTCAGACCTGTCATCCTAGCTACTCAGGAGACTGAGATCTGAGGGTCATGGTTCAAAGCCAGAACAGGCCGAAAAATCTGAGACTCTTATCTCCATTTAACTAGCAAAAAGCCAGTAGCTCAAGTAGTAGGGTGACAACTTTTGAATGAAAAAGCTAAGCAAGATCACAAGGCCCTGAGTTCAAGCCCCAGTACTGGTATAGAAAAAGAAAATTGCCTCCATACTCCTGCCCTCCACTTTAGGGTTCATGGTGGGATTGTTAAGGGTCTCCCCAGCCCATGATAGTTCTGACTTTCCTACACACCATTTGCTGCTTGTGCCTTAGTGACCTGGCTGTGGAAAAGTTGGCCTCTGCCACGCTTCTGTTCCTGTGGAAAGGCCGGAAGTGGGGGGTACTGGCTCTGTGGCTAGATTGCCTCCCCATGAACAAACCACCTGCTATTCAAGCCAAACTACCCAGCTTTCTGTCCCATGGCATGTCCGTCTCAGCACACTAATCCTGCGTCTGTGGAGGGAGCATCATTCCCTGATACTAACCACTCCTCTCAGTATGATCCTGCTGAAATGGGCCTGTGCCATCTGGTGGGGAGCCCTGGGCATGGCACCATGCTCCCACTCTCTGCTTCTCCAAGCCCTGCTGGAGTGAAGGTAGTCACATGACAGTTTTCAGGGCCCAAAGAAGTTGAGGAGTAAAGAACAGAGCAGATAAGAACACAAGTACTAGGACAGGTGGGGTAGCATATGCCTATAATCTCAGATACTTGGGACTGAGACAGGGGGATGGAAAGTTTGATGTCCACAGAGACTATATAGTAAATTAAGGACAGCCTGGACAACTTAGAAAGCTACTGTCTCAGTTGGGTGCCAGCGGTTCATCCCTGTAATCTTAGCTACTCAGGAGGCTGAGATCTGAGGATTGCAGTTCAAAGCCAGCCCAGGCAAGAAGAACCATAACACTCTTATTGCCAATTAACCACCAGAAAACCAGAAGTGGTGCTGTGGCTCAAGTGGTAGAGCACTTGCCTTGAGCTGAAGAGCTCAGGGCCAGCTGCCCAGGCCCAGAGATCAAGCCTCATGACAAAAAAAAAAGCTGAGGATGTGGCTCAGGAGCAGAATGCTTGACCAAGATGCACAGACCCAGGGTTCAATCCTAGAACGGTCAGGCTCTCATGAGAGTCATCTTGTCAGGGAACATCTTCCACCTAAAGCTGGGCAACCTAGCGTAAGTTACTTAGCCTCTCTGGGCCCTTCCTACTCCCACCACGGTAGCCTTGCTGAGATGGGCCTGTGCTGTCTAGTGGGGAGCCAGGATAGAGCCCTCATAGAGTTACTGTCAGAATTACATGAGCTAGTGGTGTGTGGAAGGATGCTAGCAAGTCATCTATGCTCAGGAAATAACCATTACTACTTATCCAAAGGGGTAAAGAGTGACGACATCACTTGTTTAGTGGAAGCTGAGGATGGGTTCCTATGGAAGTTAGATTCCCCTCTGGGAAATCCCCCCCCCCCACTGTCCCCAAAGATAGAAAAGGAGGATGCAGGAGGATAGGAAATGGGAGTGGCCCTGCTTTGTGAAGGAATGAGCTCTAATAGTTGAATGGACAATCTGAGACAGACACTGGGTACCCCCCCCACGGTGCATGGGCATCCTGTCTGCACAGTGGTACAGACTGGCTACACACCAGCTTGTGACAGGTTTCTTCACGGGATGTAGGAGAGCGCAGGTTCTGGCTGGCCACCCTTTGCCAGCTGTGCCACATCAGCAGTGGTTGGATGTTCTGCCAAAAACCAAAGCCAGAGCTGGGGGGTTGATGACATGCTAGGTGTCTAAACATAGGCAGAGTCCAACCTGGGCCCAGCCTTTGCCCAGACGTGGCAGTGTGGGCAGGAACTCCTACAGTATGGCATGCCATGGGGGAGGCTAGGGCCACCGACACACCCAGGGCTTCTAGAACACAGGAACCACAGCTGGGCAGGCTTGGGCCTGAAGTGGGAGCTGACGGTATCTCCCTGGCCCGCCCCTTTCAGCCCTGCGGTCTTCCCTATTTAAGGCAGACAGAGACTAGCTCCTGCCACCTAGTGGTCAGGGCTGGTAGGAGCACCTGGCCATCCTACAGATCTTCCTCGCTTCCAGTAAAGGCATTTGACATTCTCAATTTTCTCACTGCGTCCTCCCCCCACCCCCTCCCTACCTCAGGTTCTTCAGTCTGCCAAGGAACAGATTAAGTGGTCGTTACTGAAATGAAGGCTGTGGAGTCAAAGCTTCCTTTCCCCATCCTGGCAAAAGCTTCCTGAAGACCCCAAGGGAGAGGAGAAACCCCTCTGCCTTCCCAGGCGCCTCCCAGAACGGATCCCTGGGGTTTCAGGCCAGGGATGCTGGGAAACCAAGGTTGGTCTGGCTCTGTTTCTGCTCAGAGCCCTGGCTTGCCCCTGAGGCCATGGGAACACAGCTAAGCCGTCTGCACCCAGACTTTCAGAGTTCCTGGGCCATGGCCCTAATAAACCTGCTTCTCTCTGCCAAAGTCTCCTTTCCTGGCCTGGGAAGTGGAGGGGGGGGGGTGCAGAAGGGGTGGAGATTGGCTCTTTTATTTTTTAATTTAAAAAACCTTTTTTTTGCTGGTGGTGGGCTTGAACTCTGGGCCTGGGCGCTGTCGCTCAGCTCTTCAGCTCAAGGCTGGCCCTCTACCACTTGAGCCACAGCACCACTTCTGGCTCTTTCTGTTTTACGTGGTGCTGAGGAATCGAACCCAGGGCCTCATGCATGCGAGGCAAGCGCTCTACCACTGAGCCACCTTCCCAGCCCATGGATTGGCTTTCTCCTCTTCAGGACACTCAGTGTGGGAAGGGGTAAACCTGTGTGTGATTGGGAAGAGGACAGTGATACCCAAAAGTTCCACCTGTGGTGGGGAGGGCTGGTATGGAATAACGGTGACAGGAGGGACACCTATTTCCAGGAAAAGGCAAGCAAAAGCGGATACCCCGGTTGTGTGTGTTCGGGACGGCTGGGCGGGGGACTCCTTGAGTCATGTTTTCCATTCCTAGGCTCCAGAAGCGAAGGGAGCAAGGCTTGCACTACAACCTCGCTGGCAGGGACCGCCGTAGCTGTTTTTCTTGGCATGCTTGGAGTCACGGATTCCTCTTGGCAATGTACCCCAAGCACGCGAGCCCTGCAAGCCTGCAGGCTCTGCCCAGATGCTGGGGACGGGGGAGGGGGAGGGCGTCCAGAGGCATCGGCCGCGTCCCCAGTGCGTGTATCCAGTGCCCTGGGGTCGGGAGGGATGGCAGGTCCTGAAGGGGACAGGGGCACAAAGAGGGGTCCTGAGACCAACCTGAAAGAGGAACCGTCTTTCTGAGCAATTCAACTACGCTTTTTCGGCTTCCATCCCAGAGCCTGCGCTTTCTCCCTGGAGGCTTCCTTTGACGCGTCCGCTTTTTGGGTCCCAGACACAGGTCTTCGTTTGCGAACGGAATCTGCTCGTTTTTGTCCCCCCACCCCGGCCGCCCGCCACGCCAACCTAGCCGTGCTGGGGCTCGGGTCCGCCGCCCGGCCTCGGCCCCGGCCCCGCCCCTCGCCGGCGCCCAGCGCAGAGGCGGCCCCGCCCCCAGGACAGCATCTGCGATCCTACAGCGCCATCTGCAGGGAGAGACGAGAACCGTGCACGCTTCTCCCAGTCCGTGACCTTGACCAGCTCCGCCTGCAGGGCGGGAACGACCCTCCCTCCTCCCCCTGACACCCCCTCCCCCTCCCCGCCGCCCAGCAGTGGTCCTAGCTGCTCTCCATCCAATACGCGTGACCGGTGCGGCAAGTTCTCCGCCAGCGTGGGCATAGGAATTTCCGCCCGCCCCTGCAGTTACGACCGAGGCGAGTCTGGAGTGTTCCTACGGGCGGGCTCTGTGGGTATTTATCATGGATCTGCCTGGTTCTGTAATAAGAAAAAGACAAAGATAATGGTAATGATAACTTGCAAGCGCTGTGCACATAACCCTTGGGCGAAGAGAGAGGTCCGGGAGGGGCGTGGAAAGCATGCACTTCAACTGTGCTGTTCAGAAGCCAGGGTGGCGACAGCAGAGGAAACATTCTCCCGAAATACTTGGGCAAACATGCGGTCACACCCAAGTGCTTGGCGGCTCCTCACCGTCCTCAGCGACCGCAAAGACGGGAGGGGCGAGTTGCTTCCTGGCAGCCCTGCCATTCCTGGCTTTGCAATTTGAATTATACAGGGACCAGGAATGGGGACAGGCAGAAGCCAGGGGCTTCCTTCAAAACTGGCTCTCCACGCCGGGCGCCCGGGGCTCACGCCTGTCGTCCTAGCTACACCGGAGGCTGAGATCTGAGGATCGCGGTTCGAAAGTCTGTGAGACTTGTGTTTCCACTACTCAGAAAAAGCTGGACGTGGCGTTGTGGCTCAAGTGCTAGAGCACTAGCCTTGAGCAAAAGAAGCTCAGGTTTAGCGCCAGGGGCCCAGAGTTCAAGCCCCAGGACCGTCAAAAAAAAAAAAAAACTAAAACAACAACACTGACTCTCCATGGTCCTGTCTCCATTTTCCCGAGGGGAACATCGAGGTTCTGGAAGCTTTAAGTATTTTTAGCAAATTCTGCAGAGCCAGGTTCTAAGGGGGGCACTATTGTTGGGGACATGCTCAGATCTGGGGGTGGGGGTGGGGGTGGGGGAATGAACCAGGGACCATGTCCGTGCCGTGAAGGCAACCAGAAAGATACCTGGCTCCTTGTGGTTAAAGGACCATAAGGCTGGTTATGGCCACGGCGGAGAGAGGGTAGCAAGGACACGGCTGTGCTGAATCACTGGAGGGCTTGGGGTGAGGGAAGGCTGGCGGGGAACCAGACCTTGCCAGCCCGAGACCCTGCTGGGGCTGGAGGGCTGCGACTCGCTGCGTCCCCGGCCCACTGTCACCGCGCGCAGGCCACGGAGCCGCCAGGGTTTCGGGCTTGGCCCACGGCCCAGAGCTCTGGGCGCTGGCACGGGCTTCCCCCCAGCGGGCCTCATTAACCAGGCCACGAGCCCGGAGCCGGCGGGCGCGGAGGACTGGGTTTCGGGAAGGGCGATCGGCGGCCCGCAATAGCAGGGCCTGACCTTCCCGGATCTTCCGATCAACCCCCAGGGCCCCTCCTCGGCTTTGCCTCTGGGTCCTTGAGGGTGACCCAAGTGTACTCCGTGGCGGCGGGAGGGGGGGATTTCCTCACTAGCTGAACTGGCAGCAGGACACATCCGAAACGGAGACACACACACACACACACACACCAGTATTCTAAGTCTAAATACAAGTTCCACGTGGGAACACTGAGGCCACGCCTCTAGGAAGAGAGGGTTCGTGGGACACACGTTGTAGAACCCGCCACTCTGAACCGCTTTATACTACCGGGAGACGGACCCTGCCCCCTCTCGGCCGCTGCGCGCCCCTTGCCTTCCTCCCATTGGCTAGCAGGAAAGCAGGGCCTGTGGGATTGGCTCATGTCCAGACAGTGATGGATGGCTCCCCACTGACTGGACAGCTACCGGGTGGGAGGAACGGGGTGGGAGGGGGTATCTTTGCACCGCTGCACTGATTGGTAGAGGCGGGGCCTGGCCTGGGAATGGGGTGGGAGAAGATCTGGAGCCACCTGGACGCTCCAACTTTCTGTGTGTTCAGCTACTCTATGATAGGAAATGGAGCTGTGTCTTAAGTGGTAGAGCACTATCCTTGAGCAAAAAGAAGCTCAGGGACAGTGTCTAGGCCCTGAGTTCAAGCCCCAGGACCGTCAAAGGAAGAAGAAGAAAAAAAAGATAGTGAAACTCTGTTCTACTCTGCTATATAGAGAGAAGGGGAGAGGAGACTTATTCTTTTAAGTTTGGATCCCAGTGTAGGCAATGGGCATAAATTACCCAGAACAAATTGAGTAGAACCCTGCTGGCCTCCCTTTCCTTCCAACCTAAGTCTCCTGCATTCAACCAACCATATTTGCTGTTGACTCAGATCATACAAATATTTGACTGTTTATCATGATCCAAGCACTGGGAAAAGAGAAATTGATTAGATGTTGTAGTAGGATTGCAGGTACTGTAAAACATTGAAAGAAGAGATGGAATTTGAGTGATATTCCAAAGTAGAAACACCTTTAAAAAGCAAGTAGTAGTTCAGTGGCACTAGCTCACGCCTGTAATACTAAACTACTCAGGCAGGAAAGTCCATGAAACTTTTATCTCCAGTTAAGCACCAAGAATCCATAAGTGGAGCTGTTGTTCAAGTGGTAGAGCACCAGTCTTCAGCAAAAAAGCTAAGAAACAGTGACCACACCTTGAGTTCAAGTCCTAGTACCCCCACCACACACACACACACGCATTATAGGTTGCTCTATATCTTCACCTGTGAGAATTCACAAAGCTTATACTTAATGTGTGTGCTCTTTCCTGCAGTAAAACTTTCTTTTCAATAAAAAGAGAAAGTTGGCTGGGAAGGTGGCTCAGTGGTAGAGTTCAGGCCCCATGGCCAAAAATAAAATTTTTAAAGAAAGTGAAAGTTAATCAAA